CATAACAGATTCACTGGATAAAATTTATATGCTTTATGGATGCGAACCATTGTTCACAGTGCATAAAATATCACAAAGCATTAAATTACAATCAATCGATAAAGTGACAAGTAAATGTTAAGGAAGGATTAAGGAATGTCAGAATAATAAATATATCAGATAATCAGTTTGTGTATGAATATCTATAACCACTAATTTTTTAGACTGATATGCAAAAAATAAATAAATATATATTGGTGATGCAGTAAGAAATTCTTATCAGATTTATCAATATTTGCATAGTACTTTATAACGAATCATTTATGGTAAAGCGATGATACCGTAATCAGAAAATAATATTTAATAAAAAATAAAAGGAAGAGAACAGATAAACACATCGATTGCAATTTTAAAAAAAATTCACAAATTTTGAAGTGAAAAAATATAGAAAAATTTTTTGAAGATCTATCATCTATAAAATGAATGCAAAACAATAATTGAAAATTAAAAATTAGAACAACTGTTTTATCAATTGATATTAGGCATCATCAATAAATATTTGTATCACAGTAATCCCAAAAAAAAAAAATTACTGCTTTCCTTGATCTATTTCAGTTAAAAATTTCCTTTCATAAATTATAAAGTAAAATGTTCCTTTGAGATTTATAAGAATGATAAAAGATTTCCAGAAGAATTTAAAAACTAATAATTCTTCCGGATTAATAACAAAGATTTGCCAAGAAATATACATATCATAAATAAATAAAGAAATAAATGCAATGATAAGTTATCATTAATCATCATTGAATGGCATTAACACATGCCATTGCGCAACGGAACGACGTGGTGTTGCAAGCACATCTTGCCATTGTTTTAGCGCTACACCGTTAGCATTGTTGCCAATGATAACATGACCGATACGTTCATTGGAACCAACTCGATCGTAATCCGAAACCGTCACTTGCAAATGTACCCGCTGAAATGAAATTGTTTACATTAAGCTAATAGTGAATTTATTATCAGCTGATCAAAAAATGCTACACAAATGCTATTAGAATAAAAGCAAAGCATACAAGTAATATTGTGATTTTTTAATTTAATTTTATTTCAGCCTTACTTAAATATTTCATTTTGCTACAAAATTTAACTTAGAAAGTAATATGGAAAATAAACGAAACTCAATAATAATGATAAGAAGAGTGTCCTAGAAATGATGAAATTTGAAAAACATTAAATAAAATTAAATTGAATCACAAAATAATCAATAATATGATTTAAGCTCAAATCAAAGAAGTATGGATTGTGTTTCATTATAATTAAATGGCAACGATTTATGATTATTCATTATTTATTACTATTTCATTATTCATTAATAGCCTAAAGCTCGTTATTATTTCCCAATAATTGTTGCTTACACATTCATCTCAATGTCACACCTTTAAATACTCGAAAACTTGGATATCTAAAAATATAATGAAAAGATTTAATCAGTTGATAATTCTCTAAATTTTAATCCATTGATAACACTCACTTTACCTGCATTTTCTCTGGACTGACATCAAAACTGAACGATTCATTATAATATGGATTTAAAGTTTTCATCTTAATTGTAGTTTTCTTTTTTTCTAACCGCTTCTTTTGCAACATCAAATAAATTTTCACATATGGATCTAAAAAAATGAATTCGTTTTTACTGCAATAAAAAATGACTCCATGATGATATCGAAACTGACCGATTCATTACAGTAACACTGTAATAATTAGTTTTTTTACAGCGAATTAACTATTCGGAACATAACAAAATGCTAAACATAATTCATTTAATTTATTTATTACTATGAAATTACATATCCATTAATTAGTCCTAAATGAAAAAATCAATAATACCACTTTTTAAAATTGCAACACTTTGGTTACATTACTGTATGGATTTTAATATTGTTATAAATTTTAGATGAATTTAATACTAACCTGAGAGACCAAGAACGTCCATCTTTTTCAAATTTTTACATTCCATTACAACAACCGTTAATTTATTTTTATTTGGAACATAACGAAGCGCTAAACATACTTCACCTAACCTATTTTCCTGAAAACTTTCAACAAATTATTTCTCGTATTTTCTTTTAAATGCATTTACTCGTTAGTTAATGTTATTAAAATTTTTAATTATTATGATCATATTTTTTCATGATACTAAAAAGTTTATTAGTAAGCTAAATGAGTTGAACTTGTCTTAAAATTTTTAAAAAAAAATTGCATTTAATAACTCCTCTTTGCATCCAATTTCTAATACTTAATAAAAAGATTAAATATATTTATAATTTAAATAATACAAAAATATCCTTTAATTTTTCCAATTTATTATTTAATTTGTCGGCAACAGAACATCGCATCTATCATTAGCAGCGATTTATCAAATGGAAAAAATGAAAAAATACCGGTGGAGTTTGAATCAAATCGCACCTCTCAATGGTGGTCGCTAAGTCTACCTTTCCAAGAGGTATTGAAATTTCACCTATCTGAAATTTGGTTTACTTTATTTTTTTGCTCATCCGTTAACAATGAACAAAATATATTTCTATTTTCAAAAATTATTATTAATTCATTTCCATTTAATTTATATCGATGATCGTTATAAGAAAAATTGATTTTATTCTGAAATGCTGAAATAAATTTAAATTGATTTTATTCTGTAGTGCTGAAATAGATATCAAATCTGATAAGTCTATCTTATCATGTTTACCGAATCTATCATTTATCAAATCTATGATAAGATTACCTGACCATGTTTACCGAATCTATCAAAATCGAAAACACTCATAACCAGTGTTTGACCGCTAATTTCGTTATATGGTATCTGAAAATTAGCTGAATTAAAAATGAGTGAAATTTTGAGTTTCACTTAAAAATACCTTGTTAAAAAAATATAGAGCGTAATTCTTATAATTAACTGCAAATGGGAAAGCAAAATAAAGACGACAAGTAAATTTGGTATTAGTATCGAAAATGGAAATGAAAAAAAAATTGCTAGGCTCTTATTTTCGACTAACAGGCTAATTTTTTTCTGAAGTGTAATGATGAAGTTAGAAGATGATTGAACCAAAATTAAAGCAATCAAAAATTAGGAATAGAAGTTTTTCATGACACGATCCATTCAAAATAAATACTATTCAGAATGGAAAAGACCAAAAGTTAAGGATCCTTGCTTAGGCCTAAACGATTTGTTTAAATGAATTGGAATCAAATGCAGAAAATTAATCGCTACTTCTCCGTCCCTTATTTTCGTTTTTTTTGCACTCAATTTTTGATTTTTGCTGTATGTTCAGCTATGTGAATAAACAAGGAAATTGTTGAATTCGTAGCAAAATTTACCTCAACATGGTAGTAATGTTATATTTTTCCAATTAGCAACCGAAAATGAGTCTTAAATCGTTATAACATTGTAATTTAACAAATTCCTATCAATTATAGCATAAATTATGATAATTTTGCTAATGAAAAATTAATTTATTCATTTCATTCAGTAATTTCGGCATCGAAATTTGACAAATATCATAAAAAGTATTTCCTGCATTTTTCATGATTTGCAGAAGCATTTTTTCCAATAAAAAGTTGTTGAAATGAGTGAAAAAAAATATGATGCTTGATTGGTGTTGATAACTTCATAATTCAATTTTGTTCAAGTTCTAAAGTTTGCGTAGCATAAGCTAAAGCGTGGTTATAAGTATTCCAGTTTACTAATGTCAGCTAAATGTATCATAGCTTCCGATAAATATCATCGATTGATGATTCAGCTAAATTTAGAAAGCTACTATAACAGCTAATTAAAAAACGGTAGTGATAGCTTTTTCAATTTCCAGTGTAATTTTAACTTTGGGGATTAGTGTAACGCTTTTTAATCTAAATCTAGCTTTCTATATACTAATATGTTAATATGTTATATATACTAATATGTTAATATGTTGCTACAGTATTCTAATTTGTCGCATAGCATGATCTGTTCCAGGGGAAGACGGTACTTCAAAATCGCGATTTCATTTTTTATTTTTTTTCGAGAAACTGTTGAATATTCATAGAACTTTTATAGCAAGCAAATTTTTTTTCCAGTCTCTCTCAACTGGTCATTGTAAATTTCAAATGACCTATCATCTTCAAGACTCTCGTCTTCGTGTGTATAATTAATCATTACAATTTAGACTTGTCCGCAGTTTCTGAGTCAAATGAGCTAGCTACACATGCTGTAAAAACAAAAAATATTTTCTCAAATATACTCTTTGTCTTGTATCTTAATTCAAAATAAGTTTGAAAAAAGTGCGGTAAGTAATCAATTATTAGCAAAAAAAATTATTAAAATAATCGCCACAAATATATGAAAGCATTATTTGATAAAACTTAAAAAATTTCAATGGTGCAAAAAATTCATAATTATTTTTTGAACCATTCCCATTTACTGCAATTCTATTTTATCAATGGATAATTCTAATAATTAATATTATTAGAACGGTGATAATTACTTCATTATTTCAATAAGAATTTTTGTTGAAAAAAAGTATAGATTAATTTTTTTTTCTAGTCAACCAGTGCCTGTCATTATTATTATTGTTTGGATAGCAAAAACTTTTGTTTTACTCAAGAAACAAATAATTTTCATAACTCTCAAATTAAATCAATTGAATTTACCTTGAACATGAAATTTTCATTGAAAATAGGATTAAGCGATTTCTTCTGCACTCTCGTTTGATATTTCTTTTTCTTGTCCGGTAAGATAAATAGCTTGACATATGGATCAGAGGTGCCACCAAGATCCATCGCTGGTAATCCTTCTGCTTGAATTACAGTTACCGTTAGCTATAAATTTTATATTCATGAAAAAATTTGAATTCATCGAAAAATTTTTTTGATTAATTGCTTGCGAATTCTTTTTCATTAATCAAAGATGATTGCATTATTTAAAAGAAATGATAAATGATATTTGATATTCGAATACGACAAAAAATGGGGAAGAAAAGGAAAGGGATCTTTAATTTTAGATCATCCTATTTGACAAAAAAAATATCGTTAAGCGATGACAAAAAAAAGAACTTAAGAATATCCTCTAAAATATTTTCTCCTCCTATCATAAAATTTTCATATATAAATTAGTTTATTATCCCCTTTTTTTTTTAAAAAAAAATACTTCCAAAGTAAAGTGCCATATTTGCAAGAAATTTTTTTCAATTAAAATAAAAATCTTTTCTCAAAGTGCATTTTTTTGCTCCTAAATTCATTTGGAAATGAAAAAATCAATTTTCAATTTTTCGTAAATAAAACTTACAATTTTAGGAGTCTCTCCAAGCAAAAAAAAAAGATGGCAAATTTAGAAAGATTTATGCTAATGTTAAAAATGCATTAATTTAAACCGGATTAAAAACATCAACTTTCTCTACTAAAATTAAATTCTATCAAAAGTTTGCGCAAAAAAAAACAATTCTTCTACAGAATTAAAAAAAATCAATATAATGTTTGTTTCATTTAATTCCTTTTCCAGTTTTTGAGTCATTTTGCAATTTTTAAAATTATCTTGTCTATTTAGTAAAATTTCGAAAATGTATTTCATAGGTTAATGATTAAGAAAAAAAACAACACAAAGCTATATCGCTAATCTTGTTTGATATAATCGATAATCTTATTCTCAATCATCATTATTCACAGCTAAAACTTTTCTGTTATTATTTAATTCATAACATTTTTGCAAATTCAAATAACTCACTTCTCTGAACTTAACAGAATTGTGGATTGTGAAATTTTAAAAAAAGCAAAAAATTTACTGAGTTCTTGTCGAAGTCATAATCAAGTCTGTAAGATAATCGCCCCAAAAATTTTTTCTCCTTTTTCTCCTCTTTTTTCTTATTCGTTGTTGTTGTTGTTATTGTTGGTGTTTTTGGTGAAACCGATTCGGCTGCTATAACGATTGAAAAAATTAAATTGAACAAAGTTGAATTCAAAAATAAGAGCACTGAAGAAACTAAAAAAAGAAAAAAACTTCAATGACTGTGATTAACAAAGGAAAAAAAAAATATTTCCGAAAATTCAATTTATCTAAACAGTCATAGGTTTATCATTGAAAAAA